ACATTAGGTTGGCCCCTGAGGCTCGGCAGGAAGCAGTAGAACTTAGGGAAAGCAGCTGAATGAAGAAGAAGATCAGCTGACCTTGAGTCCACACCTCCACCTGTATGGCATGGAAAAGGTAACTCCCGTGCCCCCCCCACACACACACACATCAGGAAAGTGAAGAGAATATGGTTACCTGACCTTTTATGGTTGATGGGACAATTACATGACAAGTATGAGCTATAGCTTCCTCATGGGGACTGAATCCATCTCTCCTAAATGTTTCCCTGAAGCATGGACATAAACATGCCTGCCAGATGTAAGGTGAAAGGGTCCAAGAAAGGTGTGGAGGACAGTGGCACACCTTTAATTGCTAGTGTCACCTCCACCACCCCCCAATTGTGGGCATTCAGCACACAGCCCTGTGGGCCACTGCTCCAGAATGGGCCACTTTTTCCTTTAGTTTGGACATGTGAACAGTTGACATCAATTAACAGGTATAATTGATTAGCTCACGTTCACCACGGTGGAACAACACCTGCCCATTCTCAGGCATGTTTAACTCGCCTGGCTCTTTCCAGAATACCTGGGTCCTTCATGAAACTACACTATTGTTTGGTGGTAGCTAAGAAAGTAAACCCTGGCCTTACACAGCCTCCATTCAAATCCAAGGTCTGCTATTTTTTAGCTGAAGTTTAGTTGCTCAACTCCTCCTTTTCCTCATCTGAAAAGCAGATGAGAATATTTGCATTCTGAGGTGGTTGTTATAAAGATCAAGTGAGCTAACGATTATAGGTCAAACTTTTACCTCAATAGCATAACGTGCAATAAATGCTAAAATACAACAACAACAAAAGCGAGGAAGCTAGTATTCCTCCTTTCGTTCATTCAGCCAACAGAATTTGAGCCCTTACTGTGAGACAAATACTGTTCCAGACATCAGGGAAACAAAAGATAGAGCCCCTGGCTCCTGGACACTCTAGTAGCTCTATCAGCATGAGTGGCGATCAGAGTGACCAAAAGAGCACGTCACCAAGACCCCTGTTCACTTCGTGCACTTCTATCATCTACTTGGAACATTACAAACATCGTGGACCCTGAGCAGAATGGCACACACTGGTCTGCACAATGTCACCATATGCACTTTGGAGCTACATCAACTTCACAAGTATCTGCTGCTGACCTTCTCAACCTGCCATGGTTTTACCCATGATGCCCACAGGACTGGAACTCACAAGGCCTTCTGAGCATGCAGCCCACTCTTGAAAACACAGGGAGACCCCTGACCTGAGCCATTCCTGAGGCATACAGAAGATTGACTTTGGAGTCAGGACGCCTGGGTGCATTGAAATTCTAGCTCAACCCCCACTACAGACAGGTGTAATTTGGGGTGAATTATTTAACATCCTGGAACCTTCAGGGCACTGAGGCCAGTGGTTTCCTTGCATGTCTCCAGCAGAATTGTATGTGACGAGCCCAGCTCCATGCCTGGAACACAATGGAAGGTATTTCTGTTGCTGCTTCTACCTTCTTTGAACTACTGACTTTCAATTCTCCACAGTTTTGAGAGAATTGCTGTCATGCCAACACAGAGCAATAAAGAAAACCACGGAAAGCTCTCCACCAAGCCAGAGGGGCCTTCAAACCTGGAAATAACTTGCCTACGTCCTAGAACTTGCAATGGACGAAGCTGAGACTTGAACCAGACCTGGTCTACCTGGAGCTAACGCAGACACGAACAAGGGTTTCCATCCACTCTAAGCCACCACCCAGCTGCAAGTGCTCAGTTTGAACTGCAACGTCAGTAATGGGCGTTCCGCTTTGTGCTCTACCCAACACATACTTCCCTACTGACAGGAAACAGGCTCAGAACCACACTCCCAGTCACGGTGTACCTTGTCACTAGGTGAAATGTCGCCATCGTTTATTTCACACAGTCAGTTCTTGTTCTAGGTTATTCTCCTTCAAATGCAAATCTATTTTTTAATATAAATGAATAACTGAAAGCAGCAACATTATTTGGCCTCATGGCACAGGTTTGGGATCACAAATGTCCCCTTCCAGTTTTCACTATAGTGAAATAGCCCCAAATCTTGTTTCATGATGAGAAAGTAGAAAAAGGGACAAAAGACACAAAACTATTTAAACTAAATGATGTCACAGGCTTCACACTTCAGGCACTATATATAATGTTTTCTTTAATCCTCTCAATAACCCTCTAATCTGACATTGGCCTTCCCAGTTTACAAAACCAAAGCCCAGAAAATGCAGGCCTAATTTCCCATCCAGGTCTCTCAGGCTCAAACTGAAGTGTCACAGGCCAGAGAAGATCCCTTCTGTGTGATTTGCTGACACCACACGGCCTCAACCTCCCTCCCATCTTCCGCCCACTTCACACACCCTGAAACAGAATTGCAGCCCCTTTCAGTGGCTCTGTTCTCCATATTTAAACAAGACTTTAAATCCTTCTTTGATAACTTGTCAACAACCATGTAAATAGGTGGAAACCTTCCCTGGCTTTATGTCAATCCCTGAAGCTAAATTTGGCCCTTAGAGCAAATTAAAAAAGAAATAAAGCCCCTTTGCTAGTGGAATCCATAAGAAGAGACCAGCATAATCTGGGGAGCGTGCGGCATTGAAAACACAGTTGCCCAGACAGTAAGACCCAGGCTAAAAATACTTAGCACGAACGGCGGCAATCACGCTAGTTCTGCATTTGCACAGCATTTTGTAATTTGCTCATTTGCAGACAGTGTTTCTGGGATCCTCATTCAAACAGTGAGGTTTTATAGATGAGGAAATAGAGACGGTGGGGACTTACGTGATCTGCATAAGGTCATATGGATGAGATGTTGGCTTGGTACGGTGGCTTACACCTGTAATCCAAGTTACTTGGGAGGTGGCATCAGGAGGATTGTGGTTCAAAGCCATCCCAGGGAAAAAGTCAGCAAGACCCCATTTCAACAAACAAGCCAGGAGTGGGGTGTGTTATGTCATCCCACCTATGAGGGAAGTGTAAGTAGGAGGATTTTCGTCTAAAGTCAACCCCAGCAAAAACGTAAGGCCCTACCTGAAAAATAATTAAAGCAAAAAAGGGCTGGGGGTATGGCTCAAGTGGTAGAGTGCCTGCCAAGCAAGTATGAAATTCTGAGTTCAAATCCCATTACTGACACAATAAAATAAAAAGAACATTCTTGTTGACCCACGCTCCTGGTGAGGTACTCACTCATTCATTTTGGCATCCCTTGTCTCTTCCCCCTTCTTTTTTCCCTACTTCTTACTCCCACCATCCCTTTTCACCTCCCTCGAAGATACTTGTAGCTCACCATAGGGAGACAGCTGCAGAAGCCGGTGCCTTCCCTCTGTCTTTCCTCTCCATGGAATTTCTGCCTCTACGGGATCTGCTCCACTCCTCCCCATCTTTGGCTTCTTCACACTACATTTTCCTTGGAGCCTGACCCAACCCTGTTGCCTCCCTCATTGCAGCTGGCCATTCTCACCTCTCCCCTGACATCCTAACGCCACGTGACCTCTTAGCACAAGCTCAGCTGTTTCCAATGCAACACAGGCAGGCTTGGAGACTCAGGGTACATTCTCAGTCTGTCCCTGCCCCCTTTTGCTGTGGTCATAGAGTGATGAGAATTTTAGGATAAGGGACAGACATTTTTTTAAGCCAGCATGAAAGCTAAGACTGCAGAACCCACAGATGTCAAGGCAACACCCATATCCACAGTAAGTGCTCAATGAACACCATCATGAACAGTGGAACACAGTGGTGGAGTCAGGCAAAAAGATCTGACCCCAGCATTGCCACCTGCCATACCACTTCAGGAGGCCACCTACACTGGCTGAACTGCAATCTCTTCGTCTATCAAGGTGACATCATAACACCTGTACCCATGGTTGTGCATTCCTTCTTTCAGCAGGTGCTCATTGAGCACATTACAACTATTTTAGGTGGCAGGATACAATGACAAAAGAGACAAAGTCCCTCAACAGGCCCCCTATATATATATATATATATATATATATAGGTTCTGTCTTTTCAACCAGAAGCCATTAGCAAGGTGGTTTCCAAAATGCTTCATGTTAAAGTCACCTGGGAAGCTTTGTAAACGCTCCTTGTCCCGATCACACTCTCTAGCAATTATGTGAGAGAGCCTGGTGGTGGTGAGCAGGCATCAGACTTCACTAAAGATACCCAAGTGACTGTCATGTGTGCAGCTTGGAACCCAGGGCATTAGAGGCACACGCTCCCTGGATGGACTGCTGCCTCTGCATCTTCAGCTCCATGCTGGCCGAGCATTTTCATTACCTCTAACCGAGGCTGGGCGAACCCCAAGCATAATGGATACCTTAAATTAGCAGCTAAAAGGACAATGTGGGTTTTAAAAAGAAGCACTTGACATGAACTCACTGGCTTAGATGAACGTGTTTGAGTTCTTCTTATTGGGGAAAAAGCAACCCACCACCCTCACCCCAATGTGTGTGAGTCAATTCTGTGACAGTCTACCTGAAACAGTCTCTTCATTCAACCCTGCAGCTTCTCTCCAACTCAGCACTGGTCTTCAAAGTGTCGTAAAAGTTTGCCCAGTCTGCAGGTGAGCCCCAGGGTCCACCACAGCAGATGACACATTCCCTCGAAACCTCTTGTGCCTGCTGGGGAGACCTCAACAGGTCCCCAAACCTGACCTGAGCTTATGGTACTGTGAATAAAAAGTGAAGTATTGGAGTACCAATTTAAGACATTTCCACCTTTCTGTTCTCACCATTAGAAATGGATTGAGTTTGATTTATATCCTTGTGGATAAGAAAAGCCTCAGAGCTATTTTAAAAGGAGGCACCTGTGTCCATGGGGTGCAAACAGTAAATGTGCCTCTTCCTGTGCAGAGGAGCCTGTGGGCCTCACGATCTTTAAACTGTGTGGTCAGCTTACACCAGGCTGTGCATTTACGAAAAAGCAGACATCATCTCAGTGTGCTGTTACATAGGACAACCTAGGAAAAGCGTAAACTCACCTGCAAAAGGACGGTGGTTTTATACTGACTTCTCATCAGATTATTGATGGATTCAAAGAGTCGTCTCATGGATTCTTCAAACTCCATCTGCTCTTTGCCTTCATAAAGCCTGAAAGAAGACACACCTGGCTCACTTCTCAAGCCCACTGGCAATACCTTTACCCCTCTTCCTTCCTTCCTTCTCTTTCGGAGGTACTGGCATTTGAACTCAGGGCCTTGCACTTGCTAGGCAAGTGCTCTACCACTTGGGCTACACCTCCAGCCTAGTCAATACCTTTGAAAGTGTGGACCTGCCACAGCCTTCATGTAAAATGTAAAAGAAAAGTGGGTGGGAGATGGGGGCTCCAGGGGAAAAGGAGTTCGTTCGGTAGTTGTGTGGGTAATTCACACACAGGGAAAAACCTCTTACCCACCCTACTGAACAGAAACCCTCCACTCAACACAGGATTATAAACCCACCCCTCCCATCTGTTTCAACCCTGAAGAGGAAGAAATGTCATCAGAGTTGGGGGGACGTTAATAATGTCACCCTTCTGCAAGAATCAAAGGGGAGGTTGTGGTCATCAGATTCCCAAAGTTCCCTGGAAACAATAAAGAGAAATATTTTCGAGTACACAGCCCCTTGCAGTTAGCCACCGCCTGCTTGTCACAGGAACACCGGCAGTCTGTTCTCTGTTGGGGCCACTGCATTCCTGCCCTCTTATTTCAGGAGTGTACTTATTACCTATTCAAACCTGTGTTTCTGATTACCAAGATCCTGGGTTGTCATTGTAAAGAGTAACATAAACAGAAGCAAAATACATAATTTAGAAACTGCACCTCCTCGTTAGCCCAACAGTGGAGACTGGCTGCTGTGAACATGTGATGTGTGTCCGATCAGGGCCTTCCCATGCCTCTCCTGATACACTCCTGCACTCTGGCCTGGATCCATCCCTCCATCAAACCCATCCTGAGTCCATCTGCCCCTTCCCCCAGCCCAGGAGTGTCGCTCAGCCCAAGGCTTCTCCAAACAAGCTTTTATCGCCAGCCTAATCTCCTACACCCAGAGTGAAACACACACAAGAGCTCCTCTGTCCCTGGTCTAGACAAAGATAGCCTCTCCTGTCACAAATTGGAGAGGGCCTGGCTTTGGTTAAGGTGCTCTCCTCAGATAAAGTGCTGTCACACATAACTGGCTTGTTTGTACCTTTGCCACACAATAGGCCAGTCAACTGTGGCCACCTCACTTCTGTCTTCACAAAATCTCCACTGGCCCTCACCCCTCTTCCCTCTTCTTTCTAATGTGTCTCTCTGTTTACCATGTTCAGCATGAACCAATCTCTCTCTCTCTCTCTTCCCTTCTCTCTTCCTCTGACTCCATCACTCCATCACTCTTCCTGTCTTAGTCTCTGTCTCTCTCTCCTTCTTTTCCTAGCTACCCCTCTCTAATGGCCCCTGAAGAAGCTGAGGGGAGGCTGGTGCTGGATGTCCCAGTCAGTTACTAGAACCTACCCATTGTAACTGACCTTCTGAGCATCTTATTCAAGGTCATGGAGGAAGGCTGTGATAAGAGTCACAGGTCCTGATGTGGCCTCATGCCTCAGCTCCTTCATTCTCTTCCCCAAAGCTGGCTCTTCACTCCCTCATCTCTCCCTCTCTCACTCCACTTACTCCCAAGCCTTCCTGCCCTGCTGCCGCAGAGGTTCCTATTGAAGACTATGGATTGTAGAGTTAATCAGCTCTGGGTTCAAGTCTCTTTCCATTGTAGTATTAGCAACAGAAAGCATGCCTGTGCTCCAGGTACTAGTGATGCATGTCCAATCACTTCTTCCTCACAGCCACACCGAAGCAGACCCTGCCATGGTGCCACCTGACAGACAGGGCGAGCTCAAACAACAGGCCCTGGGAGACCACACTGATAAGTGTTAGAGCCAGAATCCAGACATGGCTGTCCAGCTCTAGGTCCCATGGCTCTGCTCAGCATCTCACTACCTCTCTCACTTCCTTCCAGCCTCAGTTTCTCTCCTTCAAAGTGTAGGCTGTTGCAGAGGTGTGTCAAAGGATAAGGAGATGACAAGATCGCACCTGGATGAACACAACTGCTGCCTCCTTGTTTGTGGTAGGGGTGTTCTCATTGCTATAATCCCCACGACATGGACAAGGAAATGGAGAACTCTCAAGAGTTTGACAGTCACTCAGATTCCCCATGCTTTAGATGTGGTTTATGCCCCAAGTGTTCATGTGTTGGAGGCTTGGTCCCCAATATGGCTATGTGAAGAGTTGGTAGGACCTTTAAGAGATGGGGCCTAGTGGAAGGTCATCAGGTCATTCAGGACACTGCCTCGAAGGTATTAACGATTAACGCACTTCTGTTTGGACCCCTGTCACTCTCTGGCTTCTTGTGTCACCATGTGATCTTTCCCTTCTACATGTCATCTGCCATGAGGTCCCCACAGAGTCAGGCCAACACCAGTGACATGCCTTTGAACCTACACAGCTGTGAGCTAATACATCTCTTTCCTTTGTAAAGTCACCTAGCCTCAAGTATTTCACCATAATTAACAGAAAACAGATTAACACACCATCAAAGTGGGAAGATGGGTCCAGAGTCCCATCCTCTATCTGATCTGGCACAGAAGACAGGACCTTCACTCAACATGGTGGTTCCTGGCCTCCTCGTGGGATGGTGCTGTTTGTTTTCCATTGCTCCCACAGTCAGGTACTCTAACCAATGGACTCTCCATCCCTCAAGTGTTTTGCCTTTTAATCCATCACTCTTTCCACCACCTATAGCTGCCTAAAGGCCATTATTAAACGCTCAAAGACTGTTCCTGGTCTGTGTTGTTGAGCCTGCCCATTGTCTCCACCTACACTGAAACCCTAGACTTGGCTGCCTATGCATTTCTACACAGACAGCTCTTTCTGGAAGGTGTATTCCTCTGTCTTTCTGTGGGGGGTAGTGAGGTTTTGACCAGCACATCTTCAGGGGAACCACCTGCTCCACCTACAGTGATGCTGTCAGGTAACACTTTTTATTACTTAAAGACGTCAAGGCAGTTCCTTCTCTCTCTCTCTCTCTCTCTCTCTCAGCATTTTAAAATGAGCTTTGTTGGGAGTCATCTAATGGCAGCACTCCAGGGGGAATGACAATGACTTCTGCCCTTGCTCCCTGTTTCTCTGTATCTGATTAAGTCTTTTGGTTTTTACAGCTGCACAAGTATCCTTACAGTAACCTTCCTTTTTGTTTAGACTAGACCTGGTTGGTTTTGTTCCAACTCCTCTTTAGTCAAAGAACTCACAGAGTGGGACAAGCTTCTTCCTGCAGCTCCCTGGGGTGGAGTTCAAAGCCAAGAGCTCCTGGGAAATCCAGTGAGCGTTTAGACAGACGAAGAGCCAGAGAGCCAGAGTGGAGAACTGACTTGGCATTACCCCCTGTAAATATTATTTGACTGAAGTGGGAAGGAAAAGAGACTTTTAGGTAATCAGAGCAAGCTGGGGCTCTCCACAAAACCATAAACTTTATAGGTAACTGAATTTAATTTCCGCCAGCAAGATGTGATTTGCTCTAGGTCACAGACTGCACCTGTGCTAGAGCTCGAACCAGAGCTCAGCATTCTTCATCTGTCCTCTGAGAATCTAAATGGAGAAGAAAATGACACAAATTCCATGAGGACAAGACCAGAGGCCTCAGCCTCTGTCAAAGCAAAGTACCCACAGACCACACCAGAGTCCAGGCATGGAGATACACTCTGCACCTGCCCAAGTTTCGTAAGGAATATAAAAAAATGTACATCAGATCCAGAGAACAGTGGGAAATGGGAAGAGAAGTCAGGGGACATCACCACAACTGGGAAGAAAGGGAAGAAAGTCTACTTCCCATAGATAGCTTTGCTGGCAAGCCATTCTCCTCCACAGACTGGCTGTGTGACCACAAACTGATTTTCTGAAATCTTCCCTTAATTGATGAAATGGAGATGAATGATCACATGAAGGTGATTTTGAGGTTAAACAGTGAGATAGCCAGCTCTTAATAAGTGCTAAGTAAACATCTATGATCCTTATTGTTCTTGATTGCTGAGCACAGAAGAGCTCATATTGACAAACAAACTCTCTGATCTGAGTGTAAATAAGGGGATATTCAACAAGAAGTGGAAGGAGAAAAACACATAGATTATATGGACAAAATAACCCGGTGACAGTGAGCAGTTAGGCCTTATGGGCCGCCCCTAAGAAACTCAAAAAGACAAATGATGCCTCCTGTATCTGAAAGACTTTAAATGAGGCCTTCAGGTCAAGGGCACAGCAGAGGAAACTTCCAGGCCCTTTTTAAGTTCTTGGTTTCTGTTACAGCTTCGGGGGGAAAACATCTTTTCTGACCTAGAACACGTAGAAAGACATTTCAGAAACCAGCGGATTCTGCCAGAGAACAAATTATTGAAGGGCCCCAAGGCCCTGACCACAGGAAAACTGGAACAGCCTGTGAGCTCTGTTCTGGGGCATGAGTCTGGCCCAGCCAGCGCTGCAGCTCCCAAGCTGGATAAATACAGCCTGGCTCACTTGCATTGAGTCAGTAAGGAGACACCAGGCGCAGCTGAGTGCTCACTAAATGCAAACAGAGCACTTATGACTTGGGCTGGGACTGCTGTGCCTCTGTGAGACAAACCAGAAAATCAGAGAAGACCACCAGGGTCCCAAACCCAGCTCTGTCACTTACTCGATTAGTGATCTTTCTAAGTCACTTAACCTCTCTAAGGCTTAATTTTCTCAATTAGTGATTCCAGCCCCATAAGTTTGCTCTATAAATCAAATACAGATCAACTGCCCCTTATCCCAAAGCAGGCCAGAAGTGTTTTAGGTTTGGGATCTTTTTTTGGATTTTGGAACTATTATGTATGCACAATGAGATAGCTTGGTGACCAGACCCATGTCTAAACAGGAAATTCATTTATGCCTCCTACACACGTTATACATGAAAGCTGAAGGTAAATTTTATATAATATTGTAAATAATGCATGCATAAAGCAAAGCTTCTTGATCTGGAATTTTCTACTTGGTACTCAAACAGTTTTGCATTTGGGAGCAATTTGGATTTCAGATATTTGGGCTACGGATGCTCAGACTGTAATACAT